GCTGTGTTACAATCAGCACAAAAAACAAACATCCCATACAAAATGACTCTGGATGTTCAATAGCATGAAAAGGCCCTAAATATAAAGTTAAACAGAAAAAGCAATAAAGTGTTATGTACAATATCCTGATATTTTGTTTGTTAGTAACTACTAAATAACCCTCTGAAATGTTAGTCACAATAATATCTCTAGCTGAAATTACCATTGAGAGAGAGAGAGAGAGAAAAGCCAAGAGAAAGGAAATACAACCATAGTCCACAATTTGGATATGCAGGGAACAGTTACACAGTTATAACAACATAAGCACAATACGGATTTAATTTAAATTATGGTATAATTTATGTGAGATGTTGAAGGACAGAACTTTCCACTGTAATCCATGGGAAACCTTGTTTCCCTGTGGCTTCTCCTTCTCACAATCCTAGAACGTGACTTTAGTCCTTAATTCTTTCTTCCATGCCTAAGTGTAAGATCCAATTTACGCAAACAATGGTTGGTAATCATTGAGAACAATTCTACAAACCATCCTTGAACAACTATATCTGAAAACGGTCAAACTTTGGCTACTCTGGATGATCTCTCCAGGTAGATCCATTAAGAGCTTTCATGCCATATGATATTCTTTAGCGTTACACTAAGGCATTGATCATGTATCTGTCCCTGTAATGAATTAATAAACTATTTTCCAGATGTGTTGTACCTTTTTTTCAACTTAAAAAAGAATATTTTTATTTATGTGTGTGTGTGTGTGTGTGTGTGTGTGTGTGTGTGTGAACATGAGGGTCCCAGGGTGTATGTAGAAGTTAGACAAAGTCCTCGCCTTGTACCTTGTTTAAGGCAAGGTCTTTCTTGTTTTGCCACTGTGCTGCATACTCCAGGCTAGTTGGTCTGTGAGCTTCCAGGAAATTCTCCTTGCTTCCCAGATCACCAAGAGTGATGGAATTATAGACACATGGCACCATGACTGACTTTTACATGGGTTCTGGGGAACTGAATTCAGGTCATCAGGCTTGTGTGGCAAGTGATTTTACCCACTGAGCCAGTTCTCTGGCTCCAATACCTAGCATATTTAAATAAAATATTTTGCTAACTCTGTGTTTCATGGGCAAACTGTGTTTCAAAAAAATGTGGGAAGGAATTTGGAAGGAGTGGAGTAGAAGAATTAGATCTTTACCTACAATAAGCATAAGTCAGTAGACTATGTCTAAAACTGATCAATCAAAACCCAGAAGCATAAGATGAGTGTTTGGATATAGGAAGGTAAGTGATCAAACTGCTAAGAAGTAAAGGATATATATTTGGGAAGGATGAGTGCTTTTGTTATAATATTCTGATGTGATTTAAGGATTTATAAATAGCGATGTGATTTATATGGGCACATTATTTTGATAACAATTTAAATAATATTTTGAAAGTAAAAATAATTAAGTTGGAATCACTTAATGAGTGTCTGTAAATTAAATGATTCTAACAAATAAGAAGTAGAAAACTTCCTGGTGGCCTAAAGATTGGGAAGAAAAGATCTAGAAGCAGCTAGCTTGGTAGACCTGGAGGTGAGAAAGGAGTAACTACCCATATCACTGCAACTGGGAAACAGAATGCACTTTCCTTGGCACTCAGGATGCCCAGGGACTCTCTGGTTAAGTCACAGGACATCTCTTATCCAAATAGGGTACCTATGCCTTGCTCAAAAAGTATTAGTGGGTGGGGGTGGGGGCTGAAGAGGACCCAACTTCCTCTTTTGGCTTCCATGGGGACCCATACTCATGTACACACACCCATACACAAGCACATAATCAAAAATAAGATCTTGAGAGAGAGAGAGAGAGAGAGAGAGAGAGAGAGAGAGAGAGAGAGAGAGAGTTCTGGTATAGGATGAAGAGTGAAGCTCATTTTAGACTCCTGCTACACACCTTGTCTTTCTTTCCTTGTCAGTGTCTAGATTTGATGCTGTCTTGTACCCATGCTACCTTAATCCTCTTTCTCCTAGCTTGAGACTCTCCTTGCAGTTTTATTATCTTTTCTTCCCACATCCCCATTTTGTCTTTCTTTTCCCCTTTTTTTCCAAATCTTGACTGAGACCCACATTCATAACCTACCAAGTGACTTTGATTTTTGCCTCAGATTTCCACGTGAAAACACTTGTCTTTTGACGGGACTTGCCCATCTATACAGCTGTCAATATTCTGTAAACAATGGCTGAACTAACCTTGATGCTATTCAAAGCAACTCAAGAACTTTATTGTACTTAATTCCAGTTGCAGAGTATTACCATCATAAGTAACTTGAATATTCTCTTCTGAAATTCTAGAGAACCTTTTTTTAAATTTTATTTTCTTTTTATTAAAAATTTTTAAAAATTTTATTATGTGTATGCATGTATTGCATGTAGGCAAGAGCACCCATATCGTGCAACGCCCATGGAGGTCAGAAGAGGCTGTTGGATCCCCTGGGACTGGAGTTACGGACAGTTGTTAGCTTCCATGTGGGTGCTGGGATTCGAACCCAGGTCTTCTGCAAAAAGAACCAGTGTTCTTAACCACTGAGCCATTTCTCCAGCCCCCTCTAGAGAACCTTTTCAAGAATAACACTGGGAATGTCGAGGCAGAGGCAAAATAAAACCAACTTTATAAAGTCTGTCCTTTCACCTGAAAGCAAATCAGTCAATGAATGAATGTTCTTTAATCCTAGAGAAATACAGGTTCAGAGACTGAAGGTGGATTTAAGTCTATTTTAATTTTTAAGATTCTTAAAACAGAGCTCAGTATGGCTGAAAACAGGAGCCTACTCAGACTAAATCTTGGCTTTTCTTCTTTTAATACTGTAAGTCTAGTAGTTTTCAAAATTTCCATTCATATCCATGTTTAAGACTCAGAAGTTGTGGATGTGTAAAGAATGGTGGTCTTTAAAGGTACCCACATTTGCTGATGAACATAAAAATAAAAAGTACTGTTTTAATGGTACCTCTGCCTGTCTCAAATTAAGCTTTCTAAACTAAAAACCTGATGCCAAAGGAGAGCATAGAGGGTCCTATGGCCCATTGGTAATTATGACTGTTGAATTTAGATTTCATACAGACCTGCCTTTATTTTAAGTGCAGTTTGGCTATTAAGGAAAAGCACACACTTCAAACCAAATATTCCAACCACATTTCTTCCTCACACAAAAGGCCTCTCTGAAGGATTTTCCAGGCTTACCACTTAATAGTGGTCAGTCCAAAAATAAACGCATGAGAGCTTTACTAAGCACATTCAACAGGACACCAAACACGTCTGTAGGGAGCTGGGCTCAGCTCTTTCCCCAGTAATCTCTGCCAGGGCCCCCACCTACACACCCCATCTCCTCATTAGAAAGCTAATTAGAATCCCAAATTTAACTGCTAAATAGAGAAGGTGATCTGATCCCAGGCCAGGATTCCTTGAACATCAAACAGCTCCTCTGTCCATAGTTAGTGTAGATAGTGTGGGAAGGGGTGTATGTGTGCTAGGACAGGATGGCAGTTTGACTTGCTGGAGGGCAGTGTACACTCTGATTTGACTGAGAAGGAAGATCTGATGCAAACTTCAAACTCTGAAAAGACATTTTTTAAAAACCCACAAAAAATGTGGGTTAGGGTTTGACTACTTTAAGAGAAAGAATTATCTTTTGATGACCTCAGTTATTGCCCAGTGACATGAGGGAACATGAGGCTGTCCCTTCAAGAACAGTTCCTGGTTCCAGCCAGCCAGCCTCTCTGTAGTGCCTGGCAACTTCTTTAGTTACCATGACAACCAAAATTAGAAAGGCTTTTGCAACACTAACAGAAACCATTTTCCGAAGTGCTTCTGTGAATCACACCGACTGCTGATGATGCAAACTGTGTGTACAGATTTTCAAACATTTTTTAAAATCCATATTTGCAATAAACAAATATTCGTTTTACATTCACATTTGAAATCTAAACTTGGAACACATTTTTGTTCGGCTGGTTTTTTTTGCTTCCATTTTGGATACCCCAGACCTCAGAGTGCAAATGCGATTTGTTTAATTTCCAAACTTGTCTGAATTACACGGTGAGTGCTTAGAATATGATTCATTTGCTCTTATTTTGAAATCGGATGAGAAATGGAGGGAGGTAGGTCTAGCATAGAGTCCTCTTGTCTACCGCACACTCTGGAGGGGGAAGAGAAGGGAGAGAGGGTGTAGAAGAGGGTGAGGAAGAGGCAAGGGGGAAAGGCCTTGACCTCTCCATTCGGGCGATGTGTTCTGCTTGCAGGAGCTCCTCAGAAGACGTTTTAAAGACCCTGTTGCAATCCTTTCCTGGTGGTATTCAGTGTCTTCTAGCTCCCAATAATACTAGGAATGCACCCGGAAGAGACAGAGGCTCTTCCTTATTTTGTTGGATGCTCCAAGGAAGCACCTTTCTCTAGAAAGGGTCCTCGTGTGGTGGTGTTAAGAGATTTCTTGGCCCATGGCCACAGCTGTGAGACCTAAGTTGTGTCCAGTGTTAGTCCAGGTTACACAGGTGCTCAGCTCCAGGTACAAACAGATTCAGACTGGTGCCGCTGGGCTGTGGTCCAGAGAACCCGGGTGTGCATCGCGGGGCTCTATGCTATCCCTCCTTGGCTCACGTGTGGACGCACACACAGACACAAGTGCCTGCACTAAGTACATAGAGGGGTGCACACTGAGGGGTGCGCACAGAGGATGCAAGCAGAGGGGTGCACACAGAGGGGCGAACAGAGAGGGGTACACACGCGCCCAGACCAGGGCACCACGCAGGTCACCCGGTGCCAATGCCCCCTTCTCCCGCGCGCTGACCAAGCTGGTGTCGGGTTGGGGACGTCCCCAAGAGTGCTTCACCTTCTCCTAACCCCACCACACCAACAATGGTGACCAGAACTTGTGTCACCCTCTCCCCCTGCGGTCCTTGGGGAGCAGTGCCCCTCTCTAGTCGCGTGATCTGCAGCCTGGCAGGGGCGAGGCTGGCGGGACCCGTGCTGGCGAGCAGCCCTGCTTACCTGGTGCGGAGGCCGCCCGGGGAGGAGAGGCTGGCGCTGGAGCAGGCTCCTGCGTTCCCAGGTGTCCCGGGGCGCCGACGTCCGGGTCGTTACTGGGGCTTTCGAAGCAGACGCGGGCAGCCGACCTGACACTCTGGGCCTGGCAAACCCCGCTGCCTACCGAGCCCAGCGGCCCCGCAGCGGTCCGATGGACCAATCCCGAGCAGGGAGCTGGCCGGGGGAGCCCGGAAAGGACCGAGGATGGCGACGCGGGCCTGGACCTGGCAGGAGAGTTTCTATGGCAGCCGAGGGGGAGGAGCGGAAGGGAGGAGGGTGAGCGGTTGGGTGGCAGGGGGACACCCACTGCAGACTCTTCCGGAGGGCTTCGGGCCTGCTGCAGAGAGGATGCCTCTTAGAGCAAGGACGGGGAGGGGAGACAGCCGAAAGTGAGGCAACAACAGCTCCAGACGACTTAGCACCTTGGATGGAGCAGCTCCGGCTTGCTCTTTGAGCCCGACTTTCCCTTCCTTGTCCTTGGGAGGCCATGACCCGTAAATCCAACAGAGCCAAGGCTTCCAGGCTTCCAGCAGGGCGCCGCAACAGCTCCTCCGGGTGAGTCTGGCAGGGCTTAAGCTCTGCAGAATCAGTGCTCCTGTCACGCCCCACTCCTGCCCTGATTCCCTGCATACACCAGGCCTGGTTCTTAGGGTGCCACTTAGGCTAGACTTCCAAGTCTCCTACCTACATCCCGCTGTGATCCTCTGGCTGCTGGTGAGTTTCAAATAGTACTTCTCCAGTTTACAAACAAGGAAGCCAAGTCACTGGACTGAGTGCAGAGCTGGGAATTTAATTCAGAGTGTACAAAGCATCGAAGGTAATTACTGAAGTACTTTAACTTCATCCTATAGAGGAGGAAACTGATTACAGAGCGACTTAGCTGGTTAATGGCAGAGCCAGATCTAGACACTTGAGACTAAGTTATCGTTAGGTCAGTGATCCTTCTTTCTCTTATTCCCCATTCCCCACAAGTATTCCTGAATGCACGGCAAAATTTACAAGAACAAGAACAACCTATATCTAAAATCGATTCTTTTATGGCAGAAGTAGGGGACCTGAAGATTCTTTTTTTCTATTTGTCAGACACCTGTAATAAATACTTTTACAAAGACTAAATCCTCGCAATAATCGGAGCTAGGTTCTCTTATTATCATGCTTGTTTGAGCAGATGAGGAAACTGAGGCAGAGGTGGATCAATAATTCCCTCAAGGTCACCGAGCTGTGGAAATCTGGTGCTGGGAATCCAGAGCCAGTCAATGCTTTTCCTTACCGCGGCCTCCTGCGAGCTCTTAAAGGTCAGGAACAGAAGGCAAGAAACAAAACCTTGGACAGCTCCATGCTCTGGCCACGTGCAGGAAAGCCAAGAAAATCTGAAAGGATTGCTTCCTTGCTTTCTAAGACTGGCCGTTTATTGGTGGAGGATAAGGGTTCTCTGTCTTTAAGCCGAAAGACAAGAGAATTTTCCTCAAAACATCTTTAATATAGTACATGCTACCAGTCTACTTTCTTTCTAAAACAGCAAAATGCAAGATAAAGCATAACATTTTTTTTAAGACTTGAAAAACTGAGTTTTGAAGCATGACAGTGAATGGAAAAACTACATAGAAACCACGACCTCAACTCCCAGACCTGTGGCTGAACCCTGACACTGTGTCCCCACTGAGCAAGGAAAGCCAACAACTAGGTCAGAAATGAATCCTCACATGCACCTGCTGGGCCCTGTGCCTGGAGCCCAGAGCTGTTTTGCTAGAGCCTACTCCTTCTGTATCAGATCCCTCCCTTCCTGCCTTCCCTTCCCTTGGAGCCCTGGGAGTCCTCAGTCCTAGAAGACTGGAACACATTGGATTCCTTTCACTTGAAAGTGTTACTTTTTCTCCTGCCAAAAAAGGACATTCCAGCCCAGCGTAGTGGCGCACATCTGTAGTTCCAGCACTTGGGAGGCAGAGGCAGGCGGATCTCTGTGAGTTCAAGGCCAGCCTGGTCTAGGTCTACATAGTGAGTTCCAGGCCAGCTACAGGGAGACCCTGCCTCAAAATGACCAAAAAAAAAAAAGTCATTCCATAATAGTTTGATTACAGTGTAACAGAATAGAAAGGTTTGAAAACCCTTCTAAATTTTAATTAATTTAATGTGCATGAGTGTTTTGCCTACATGCATGTAGGTTCACCACATGTGTGCAATGTCCAAAGAGTGTTGGATTCCCCAAGAACTGGAGTTATTGACGGTTCTTAGCCGCTATGTAGGTTCTGGGAACTGAACTAGGGTCCCCTGCAAGAGCAGTCAGTGCTTTTAACAGCTGAACCATATCTCCAGTCCCATGAAAATCTTTCTTAAAGACAGGGCCTTGCCTTAAGACTTAAGATAATCCTCCTGCCTCAAGTCTCCCAAGAGCTGGAATTACAAACATGTCCCCACATCCAACTTTAAAATAAATACCGACTTGAGTATTATAAGGAAATGTTTTCTTCATATTTAGTGAAAGTAAAAGTTTGAAGCAGAAAAATGCAAATTTATGATGCATATGGCTGAAAGGAGATACACCAAATATTAGAAATGTGCATTGTTCCCTGGTGGAGTCACAGGTGACCTACAAGTTCTTAATTTCTTTCAGCATTTTTTCATCTTCAACAATGGGCATGTATGTCATAAAAATATTTTCATGTTAGAATATTATTTTCAGAAGCATTTATGAATCTGTAGGGCTGACAGCCAGTGTAGGCAGTTCTGTGATTATTGAGCAGCTCATTTTCTAACCCTTGCTTGCCTCTTTTCTGGTCATCTAGCACTGCTCTTTAACTGTATGGTACTTGGCATCTCTTCATTAACTGTATAATACTGGAATCTCTACTGTCTGATACTTGGTATCAAGCATCTTTTTTCTTCAGTTCATCTGTAATCTGGTTGTTGAGAGAAATGAGGTAGTTCCCAGCAATCATAAACTAAATTCTCTTAATCTGAAGTCAGTAAACTTGGGCTGGTTGGCAAGGTGGAGGGTCCCTCACTGAACCATGAACTCATCAGTGACTAGGGAGCTGGGGCCCAGGTACACTCAGAATCCCCTTTACTGTCTGTACACTTGGTACTGTTCAAGGCCAATAGGGGCAGTCTACTCTTGTTTACTAAGTATTAGCTTACCTGGCACACTGCACCCATATTGAACATGAAGTTGGCCATTTATGAGGTGTTCCCACTTCCGTCTTTGGGGACACTTGACAAATCTCATAAGAGAATGTGTACTAAATTTTTCTAAGACTGTAAATTGTTGCAGAGTTGAATCTGCAACTCAAAAGGGTGTGACCTGTTCCAAGAACACTCATAACATTTATTTTGATTAGGATCTGTACATTATCTGAACCTGAGAACTCCCGTTTTTCAAAAATTCACAAGTACTTAGAGACAATATCTTTGAATGTGAAAGATACTGCCTTAATTTGGGTTGTATAATCAATTGCCTTAGAATGAACAGCTTAAACAACATTTTCTTATCACAGTTCTGCAGCTGGAAGTCTGAGCTGAGGGTGTCAGCACAGCCAGGCTCTAGAAAGGGCAATTTTATGGGCGGCAGACTATCACCTTCTGAGTGTCCTCACATGGCAGAAGGCAGAACCAGAGAGCGTGCTGGAGTCTCACACAGCATTATTCCCATGCGTGAGATCAGCTCTACTCTAATGGCCTGGTCAACTCCCAAAGGCCCTTCCAATACCATCAAACTGGGAGTTAGGCTTTCAACATAGGAATTGGGGATGGTAACATGAATATTTAGTCTGTAACAGATGCTTTCCCGGGTTTTATTTTCTTACATGAAATGTCCAGTAGGAGTTCCTGAATCAAACTTCCTCCTCCTGGCTTGTCTTTTCTTCTGTAGATTTTCATCTTTTCACTACCTTCTAGGCAACTGTTTCACATCTATCTTCTATTTCACTAATAGTCTCTTGAGTCATATCTAATCAGCTGTCCAAACTGACAGCCGTCATTACCCCCAGATACAACTAAATACAACTAAAGTATGGAATAGGAAGCATGCAAATACAATTTCCACATTTCCTCAGAAGGCAGCCAACTGGGTTTAAAATGAAATTGCTTCCTTACAATTAGAATTTATCAAATCCTTTTGTTCTCAATTTTACAAGAACTAGTATTTCTGTGGTAATGAAATGTGAATTTTAGTTTAGCTTTGCTTCCTTAAGTTTTAAAAAAAATTACTTTTGTATTTGGGAGTGCATGTATCCCATGGTGTACAAGCAGAAGTCAGGGGACAATTTGTGGGAGTGGGTTCTCTCCTTTGACAAGGTGGGTCCTGAGGATCAAACTGGGTCAATAGATTCAGCAGCAAGAGACTTTGGCCACTGAGCCATCTCACTCATCCCTATTTTTGCTTTTATTTGTTAAATTCAAGCAAAATTAAACAAAGAATTAAAATAATTGCAGTAATCCTGTTTTTAAATCTCTCTCCCCCCTCTTGTGTGCTTGTACATATGTGTGTCTGCATATGCACAGGCACACACCCATACACAGAGATATCTGGAATCATACACAGAGATATCTGGAATGATATACATCTAATGTTTAAAAATTATTTCTGATTAATGGGTTTGGGTGGTTTAACAGGCTTTATTATTTTACACTCTGTGACTTTTACTTTGGCAAGTATAAGTTAACAGCAGCAACAAAAAAGAAAATTCTGATATTCTGGGTATTCATTTATTTAGATTTTTTGTGAGGGGTGGTGGTGGTATGTGTGTGGGGGGGTGCGGGTGTAGGTGCAGGAGGGATTGTGCATACTCATGCAAAGGCTAGAGATCAGAGTTGGATGTCTTCCAGGCTGGACAGATGGGTCAGCAATTGAGTACTAGCTGCTCTTCCAGAGGACCCAGGTTCAGTTCCCAACACCCACATGGAAGGCTAACAACCATCAGTAAATCCAGATCCAGGGGATTCAATACTCTCTTCTTCCCTCTGAGGGCACTTCCCAATATAGGTGCACTTACATACATGCAGACAAAACACTCATACTTTACAAATATTTTTAAAGAAACTGGGTGTCCTCTATCACTCTCCACCTTATTATCTTGAGACTGGGTCTTTCACTGAACCTGGAACTCACTGGTCCCACTAGAAAGGCTGGCTGGGCAAACCCTGGGATCCTTCCATCCGCCTCCTAGCCCTAGGATTGTAGGCATGTGTTGCCATAGCTGGGGTTTTACACAGGTGCTAGGGATCTGAACTCAGGTCT